GTCAGTTATATGAAAGCCTTCTGTACATAAAGTAGTCTTAAATATAAGAAGCAATCATATTTCTTAGCTGAAACAGGGTTATGATTATTAGTGAAGATAGAACTGTGCAGACTAGACAGAAAATTAGTTATATCGTCGTTGTTTAACAGTTTTCCGGAAAAATCAGCCTTGCGGATGGTTCAAGTAGGAGGATTAATAGTTGCGTCAAACATTAATCCTTTGAAATATTATGTTACATTACCATTGCTGGTCTTAGCTCGTTTATGGTTTTACATATTATGTCCTAAATGCGTATTACTAGTAAGTCATATCAGTCGCTCCATTTCTCAATGTTTGTTTCTCTCCTATCTTGGTGTGTTTCGCATGTTCCGAGCAAGAGCATTAATTACATTTGCTGCCAATATTTACTGTATGATGAATAAATCTGTTGAAGCCTTACTTAAGTTGACTTCTGCTGACCTCACAAAAGTATTCTGAATTTTTATATACATTACTATTGAGCAGTTCCGTAAACAAACTTCATGGTCCTTTTGCTTAGCCCAGTTTCGTAATGCAGTCGGTTGGTTCGTGTGGGTGGATCGAGTGGTAGGTGGTCGAATTTTACGTCTTGTGATTGCGTGCGAATTTTGTATCTTGCCCAAATCATAAAATGAGGTAAGGATGCAAGTGGGTGAGTGGTGTTGGATTAGTTTGGTGTTTCAGTAGGATTGAGTTCTGTTTGTTCTTCTGTTATTGTTTTAAGCCATGAGAGAAGGGATTTTTGGGTTTACTGTATCAACTGGTACGAGTTTGAGGTGCCCAACGATTGTGGGCTTTTATGTTTCAGGACCAGACAGTGCTTCTTTGTTTAAAAATCTAACATCTCTCATTACTTGGTTTGTCATTTATGAGATGAATGGACGTGTATTCAGTTCATTTTAACTACTTTGTATGCTGTCCAAATCGCTGCGCGATTTGTATAATTCTATTTTTTTTTTTTTTTTTTGAAGACGTGACGTATGGCTTCACGGATTCTGATGAATTTTAGCCGATCGGCTTCGCGTTTATTATGCGAGCCAAAGATATTAAGGAGTGTGGCTACTCGAACATATGCTTCTTCATCAAATATCGGTGACTTTGTATTTTTAAATTCTTCGATACCTTCGCGATGTAAAGTTTTTCTTGCAGCAAAATGGAAGCAGTAATTCGAGTGACGTAATTTTTCTTACATGTAGAGATAGGTTTAACTCCTTACCAGTGCTTTCTGGTCCACTGGTGTTGCTGGGATGACTGTACTGGACCCACGACATTATCCAGATCTTGTCTTCCTCTCATTTCATTTAGATACTACCGGACTTTAACTTGCTCTTTTTGTTAGATTTTCCATTAAATGCTATATTTTTCATTTGCCGTAGAAGAATTAAAAGCAGAATTTCTGCACTTCTTCATCAGTTCTCGATTCAACTATTTTTCCAGCTAATGTACAAGAGAGAAGCGTGATTCCGATTAACTGTCGGAGGGAATTGCATTCATCTATGTCATCATTAGCCACCGCAGATGCTGCTAAAAAGGTACTCAGTAGTTTGGAAAAAATCCATATGCATTGTGACTTCTAAATTTATATTTCCTTCATCGTACCAGGTTGTACCTACACCGATGAAGCCGACAGTAAAAGGTTCAAAGGGACGTATAGTAGCAGTAATTGGTGCAGTGGTGGATGTGCAGTTTGATGAGGGGCTGCCGCCAATTCTGAATGGACTTGAAGTGTCTGGGCGAAAGCCACGTCTTATCCTGGAGGTTTCACAACATCTCGGTTGGTTAATGATTTTAACAGACAAATGGGAAGACATACGGTTGCCTAGAAATTCTGCTTCCAAATTTTCAGAAACTTTCTTTTGATAAGCGCTACTATCATACCTATCACTGTCTGACTGATGGGGCTGCCAACTGAGTAGTTCAAACAACTACGACTCTTTATAAAACTAGTTCATGATGTCGATTCTGAAATGCTTTATTTATAATAAATTTTTTAGGCGACAATGTAGTGCGAACAATAGCAATGGATGGTACGGAAGGACTTGTACGAGGAGATGAAGTAATAGATACTGGCGATCCAATCAAAATCCCAGTTGGGCCAGAAACACTTGGTCGTATCATGAATGTTATTGGTGAGCCAATTGATGAACGAGGCCCTATCAGTTCCAAACATTTTTCTCCAATTCATGCAGAAGCACCAGAATTCGTTGATATGAGTGTAGAACAAGAAATTCTTGTGACTGGGATCAAAGTTGTCGATTTGCTTGCGCCGTATGCAAAGGGTGGTAAAATTGGTAAGAATTTTTTGTTCGTCCGGTGGGATTTTCATCTGCTCATAGTCTTATGTGTTGTTATTTCAAATTTTCAGGAAATTGCAGAGGTAAATTAGAAGACTGTGACTGATTTTCAGTGGGTTTCCACTAACTTGGTATAGAAGGGAAGTAAAAGGCTTGCTATAAATCATTATAACAAGATCGTTGCATTGCCCAGATAATGAAAATTCTGTTGATTTGGCTAAGCCGAAATGCTCGGAATCATGTTTGCTTAGATGTTTCCTAGTTCACCAAAGAAACATCGTACGTCTTGTCTTGATTGTTACAAAAATTCTCAATCTATCCTAATTTGCTGGTCATAAAGGGTATTGGTCATTATATTTTTGTCGAAGTAAAATTGCTCATTCGAAGCTGTACGGTTGTTATCTCAAAATCATGCAGTCAACATGAGCATAAATTATGTGTCTTATGTATATATATTATACATGTATATATATGCGAATACTGCATTACCTCCATTTTTGCTGGTAGTATTTAAGAATTTTCGCACATTATCAGATCTCTTTGTGACGAGTTTCTTGGGCTTTTTTTTTCAAAGTTTTTGCTATAAAAACATTAACTTTAGCTCCGTTTATTTTACTTTATTGAATAGATGCTACTCAAAATATTTTAGATATATTTTTAATTGCTGAAGTTTTGTGGTGCTTGCCATATTCTGATGCATCTAATATAAGTTTAGGATTATTTGGCGGAGCTGGTGTAGGAAAAACTGTGCTGATTATGGAACTGATCAATAATGTCGCCAAAGCGCACGGTGGTTATTCAGTGTTTGCGGGTGTTGGTGAACGCACTCGAGAGGGTAACGATTTGTATCACGAAATGATTGAAGGTGGGGTCATCGATTTGAAAGGC